CCCTAAGCCATGCGCCCGGCCCGCCGGCCTTGCGCTTCGCCGAGCTCCCCTCCTCCTGGAGCAGTCCTGGAGCCCAGCGGAGCCCGAGGCGGCGCCGGGACGCGTTCCTGCCGCCGTCGCCGCGGCCCGACTGACGCCCCGGCGCGCCGAGCCCCCAGCCCGCCGCCGCGGCCCGCGCCTCCCCGCGCGCCCATTGGCCGGGTGCGGCGCATCAAAGGCGAGGCGGACCGCGGAGGGGGCGGGGTAAGGGCGGGGCCTTCGGAAGGGGGCGGGGCGAGGCACGGCGCGGGCGGGGCACAACATCGTGCTTTGCGCGGGGCCGCGGTCTGGGGCCAGGGGCGGGAGTTGGGGACCCGGGTGAGGAGGCTCAGCGCAGGAGGCGTATTAGGGCAGACACCCACTTGGGTTCTACCTTCCGTAGGGACACTTGGTCCCCCAGCTAACAGAACTGTGCCTTCCCTCAGCTCTGCATTTCCTCGAAGCGTGCCCAGCAAGACTTGAAGGCGCCAATTTACAGGTGGGGAAACTGAGGTCAGGAGAGAAGACCTGAGCTGCCTGGCGCCTGCTGCGGGCTGCGTTACACTGTCCCAGTCTTCCCACAGCCTGCCTTCTGCAGAAAATGTTCATTACCCGCTGCGTGCCCCCTGCCTCAGTGACCCGTCCATCTTTTTTTATTTCGAAGTCCAAGAGAAGCCCCCCCACTGCACCTGGGGCCAGTGTAGGCTCAATCCACTCCTGGTGGTGACAAGTGTCCAAAAATCCTCGAGTCATCCACTCGCTTGGATCTCCCGGTCCGGAGGCCCGTAGGTGCCCGCCCGGGTCGGTCGGGGCGCGCTGCCAAGCTGCGCGGCCCGGAAGGGGGTAACCGCTGGGTCTTTGATCTTCCCTGGTTTCCGCTCCCCGCTGCAGTTCGCCAGACCCGAGGGCTTGTTTGTTTTGTCTGGGGAGGTCTCCGCAGAGGGGAGGGCGACATCAAGGGGTTCCACCCTACCTTTGTGGTTCTGGGAGAGAATGTCGGCTCTGCTGGAGACACCGCGGGCCTGTGCGAAGCTCATCCTCCTACCAAGCAGGTTGGGAAGAGAAAACTCCCAGCTCAGGGTGAGGAGACCAGCCCTGCCCTTTGGAGTGAATTCCCTGTGTAAGCCTCAGTGTTACAATCTGTAAAATGGAAGCTCAATTCAGCCCTTTTTGCTGACTCCATAGAGCAGCGCTGTCACATAGAGATATAATGTGAGCTGTATTTGTAATTTTAAATTTTCTAGCAGCCGCGTTTTCACAAAGTAAAAAAGAAATAGATGAAATTAATATGAGTAATAGATTTCATGTAACCCTTCCCTATCTGCATCTCCAGCTTCAACCACTATCAACAATATTCAGGAAAAAATAACAATCCAGGGTGGTGCCTGTGGCTCAGTGAGTTGGGCACCGGTCCCATATACCGAGGGTGGCGGGTTCAAACCTGGCCCTGGCCAAACTGCAACAAAAAAATAGCCGGGCGTGGTGGCAGGCGTCCATAGTCCCAGCTACTCCGGAAGCTGAGGCGAGAGAATCACCTAAGCCCAAGAGCTGGAGGTTGCTGTGAGCTGGGACGCTACAGCACTCTACCGAGGGGGACAAAGTGAGACTCTATCTCTAAAAACAAAAACAAAAACAAAAACAAAAACAAAAGAAAGAAAGAAAGAAAGAAAAAATAACAATCCAACAATAAGATAATACAAATTTTAAAAATCAGTATAACAGCTATTTAGATAGCATTTACATTGTATTCTGTGTTATAAGTAATCTAGAGATGATTTAAGCATATAGGAGGATGTGTGCAGGTTATATGCAAATACTATAGAACATTTTATATAAGGGATTTAGCATCAGAGGTGTTTCGGATCAAAGGGAGTCCTGGAACCAGTCCCCACAGATACTGAGGAAGCGTGTATATCCAACATATTACAATTTCAACATATAATGAGATATTTAGGATCTTTAAAATTCAGTGTGTAATTTATTTACACTTAAAACTTCCCAACCCAGGCAACCCAGACTTTGTTTCAATGACCAATTACAGTGGTCATGTGGCTAGTGGCTTCTGGAGCATCTCCCTGTCTCCAAAGGACATTGGGAACTTGCAGCCTCCAGAGTCACACACAAATCCCTTCATCCAACAGTGTCTTACTTTCATCCTCTAAATTTCCTTTTTTACGCACCCTTTCTGGTGGAAATGAAGGCTAATCTTATAAGCAGGTACATGAACACTGTTGGCAGAGTGGTTTCATTTGTGGAGTGCTGGGACCGGGAGAAAAAAAAATTACCATTGTCGTTTTTATGTTGCAGTTTTTTATTCAGTCCCTGCTATGTTTCAGTCATCGCCCCACATCCTGTATAGCCACTCTCTGATGCAGACTCACTGTAGAAAGGAGGGAACCTATTAGACTCAGAGTGGTCAAGTCACTTGCCCAAGGTCACACAGCTAGCCAGTGACGCAATTTGGAATGGAACCTGAATCTGCCGATTGCATTGCCCATGGTTGTTTTTGCTATTTCACTATATCAGGTTGTCCCAACAAAGTTCCAATCCAACATATTGTCATTAGAGAGAGAGTTCCCCATCTGGAAACAAATGCATGTTAAGTGCCAGCTATGTGACAAGGCCCTGAAGATACATCAGCGAACAAAATAGACAACTGCCACTCTCATGCAGCTCACACTCTCCTGGAACAGGAGAGGACAGGCAAAAAATAATAAACGCAATAAATGAGTAAATAGTCTGATAAGGTAGAGGGCAGCACCAGCTACAGAGGAAACTTTTTTCTATCACATAAGGAGCTGATAGCAGGCCATGTTGTCTCCTCCCCCTTCCCCCTGCCCTAGGGGACATTTGACAAGAGGCAAATAGTCAGTAAAGAAGTCAAGGTTGCCGCTACATGTCCTACCATGCAGGAGACAGGCCCCCACAACAAAGCAGCACCCAGCCCCAGATGGGGCAGAGTGGTAAACTGAGAGCCCCGAGCTGCAGGAAATGGAAAGAGAGAGCAGAATTGTGGGGTCAGAAGTAGGAGGAAGGCAGGGGCTTTGAGTGTCTGAATCAGCGTGGGAGCCTTTCTTTAGACCCCCACAAAGAGAAGGGAATTCATATGGGGCTCACACACACACACACACACACACGTGCCAGGATACATCTAAATCAAAGCAAAACTCTGAGATTTCTTTCTCACAGTCCTTAGAAAGTTGGTTACTTTCTTAAACCGGTCGTGGCTTTCTTCTTTCATGAGAAAAAAAAGATCCCCTCTACCCCTTGGGAATTTCTTTTTAGAGTTCAAAAAGAGATAAAAGCAAGAACTAAAACTTTGCAGTTAGCAGTTTGAGTCTTGAGGGGAGCAAATCCCAAATGTCCAGGCCAGACACGAAGGCCCCCCTCCCTCTTCGCCACAGCCTGTCCCAACCCAGCAGGTGCCTGAAACTTCGCTGCTATTGGCACTGTGACGCCCCCACCCCACCTGGCCCTGGGTGGGCCTTGTGGTGAAATGTTGGGCTGTCCAGCACTCCACCCAGGGGCTCCCCAGAGGCCACCAGCGTGCTGTCCACCTGGGGTGGCTACTCAGCCTCCAAGGGCTTCCCACCCCGTGACTCACTGTCTTTTTATGTGTTTTAATAATTTATCTGGCCCATTTCTTGGGCTGTATACTTAACAGTGACACATCTTTTTCTTTGAAGATTTCCCATCCTTTGGGGGAGGAGAAGGGAAAGGAAAGCAAGGAAGAGATAAGAGAGAGAGATTATAACAGAAACGGGTTTCATGGGGCTTGAGATTTAGCAAGACTGGTTTCGGTGAAATCTGTCAGATGTAGAACTCGGAGATTTTTTCTTTAAAAACCACATCACCCTGGTTGACTGCCCCCACGCTTGTCCCCAAGTTAAGCCACCTGATCTGGACCCTTCACATGCCACTTCCTTCCTAGGGGAGGCCCTTCTTGACCTGCCAACCTGAAGAGCTCTTCTCTGCTCTGAAGTGCCAGTGTTTCACACCTCTGCTTACTTTTTAATGACAAAGCTAAGTTTCCCTCATAGAACTTGAGTCTAGGGGTCTCACCCGACCTGGATCACTGGATGCATACCCAAAATGGCAGTGCCCCTAGCGCTCTAGATGGAAAGAACCCAGCCCTACCCCACCTCGGCCAAGGGGTGTGTTATGCTCAGTAAGAAGAGGGGAGGGCTGCCAAGAATAAGATCTGGGACACACTACGGAAAAAATTAGCTTCCAAGTCTCCATGGGTTCCTCCAAGGTCCCTGGAGTGGCTTCATTTCATAGTTCCCGGGTGAGTTTTGGCATTGCTAAGGGGCCTGGAAGCCTGGTCTGGGTGAGGAGGGGAGAGTGAAACTGCTTTGCATGAGAATGTATCAGGCGTTTTGGAGGGACAGGAAGAGAAAGGTCTCAAGGGAAACAGCATGAGAAGATGTCATCATACAGGCCTAAGAGGGCCCATCCAGGGAGGGTGATGAGCTCTAACATCCAAAGACCAGTGGTCACCTGCTTGGCTCTGTGCCCTAATCTCTCTCTGTGCTTTCAAGTCCTTGGCAAAATCCTAACCACATCCCTGGATCAGTGGCACAGGACAGAAGGAAGGAACCAGAAAGACAGCCCTGCACAGGCAACAGGTCACAGGCAATCTTCAGAGTAGAGATGTCCACAGGAGAAAGGGTGGGAGGGAGAGGCTGCCAGTGAGAGGAGGCATCAGGCCTTGGAGAGAGGCAGGGGAGGGTGGGCTTCCCCAGAACAATGGATGGAGTCCCCAAGCCACGCTGTTTGGGTCCTATAAGAAAGAGGCCCAGAAGACAGCTGCTTGAGTCCCCTCTAAACGCTGGTTGAAGTGCATTGAATTTTTGTGCCGTCCACTCCTCCTGGGTCTGGGTGTCTTTGCAAGTTGAGAGCACAGGCCTCCCTGGTGAGGTAGAGGAGGGAGAAAGCCATCGGGAGTCCTGCTCTCCTTCCCAGCGCTGGCTCTCCACTCTGCCCCAGCCACGCCAAGACGCACTTCTAGTCATAGCACCAGTCACGGACTACTTTCAGACTTCATTCACAAAAGAGAGAAAGAAATCTTGATCTTTGTGGGCCTTCGTTTCTCAGTTAAGGGCAGCCCACCCAGGACGACTGTATGCGGCCTCCCTATCCATAAAATAGGAGGAAGACTCAGGCAGATCAGCACTGCTCACAATGGGCCCCCCATACCAACCACGACCCTGGTTCTCTGAGATTATTTTTATGTGAAGGAAAGAAAGAGTTCCATGAGAAACTGCCCCCCCCCCGCCCCCGCTTAGCCAGGAGGCAAGTTGTTTTTCTGCAGGACTTGTCAGAGCCTTCATGAAGTGGCCGAGAAGAGGACATGGAAGCCAGGGTTTCTTAAACTTACTAGATCAGGGAACCCTTTATGGAAAGTTCCAGTGAAAACAAGTACTAATGAAACATGCTTTGGGAAATATAGGCCAGGTGATTTCTAAGTTTTCCTCCAATCTGAAATTCTAAGTCCTAATTCCAGGGGCCTAGACTAGTGAGGAGAGCTCAGTGAGGACAGAGCCAGTGTGAGGCGGTCCCTGAAGGAGAGCACCCCCGTGTGTCTGTAGTGTACATTTAATGGGTTTTAAGATGTATTATTTGTTTTATTTATTTTATTTTATTTATTTACAGGCCACTGAGCAAGTGGACCTATCCTTGAGGCTCCATATTGGTACATGGACTTTCTAAGGCCACCACCACTCAAGTAGTAAAAAGAAGGCAGTCAAGGAAGCAAAGTTTATGGTTGATTTTTCTGTATCACATGCCTTTCCTTCTAGCCCGGCTTCCTCCTCTTCCTCTTTCCATCACAAAGAACACAAATTGAGGGTGGTGCCTACGCCTATGTAGGTAACACGTCAACCATTACCCCTTCACGCCTGGGCCACAGCTGACTGGACA